AGGTGGGCTGTGCTGGATCTCAAGTGGGCTCTGCAAGCGGCTTAACTAGAAATCACAGGGCCCCATACAAAATTATGCTATGGGGCCCTATGATTTGTAGTTATGCCCCTGTGTCAATCGGTTTGGTTGTTTCACCTTTTTACTTCTTGTGTATCCGAAACCCCAGAGAACCATTGGTTCCATCTACTCACCAATCCACCATTACCATCAGCATTTCATCACTTCCAACATCAGAAGCCTCAGCCACACCGACCACCCGAGAACCCACACCGACCACCCACAGCGACCACCCGAGACCCCACCCCGACCCCCGACACCCCAAACCCACAGCGACCACCCGAGAACCCACAGCGACCACCCGAGAACCCACAGCGACCACCCGAGAACCCACAGCGACCACCCGAGAACCCACAGCGACCACCCGAGAACCCACAGCGACCACCCGAGAACCCACAGCGACCACCCGAGAACCCACAGCGACCACCCGAGAACCCACAGCGACCACCCGAGAACCCACAGCGACCACCCGAGAGCCCCTCTGGTGACCTGAGAGCCCCACTGACCACCAGAGCCTCCACTTACTTCATGAGAACCACACTGACCACATGAAAGTCTGCACTGACCACCTGAGAAACACACTGACTACCTGAGAGCCAACACTGGCAACCTGAGACCCCCAATGACCACCACTGGCTACCTGAGAGCCCATGCTGGACACCTAAGAGCCCACACTGACCACCAGAGCTACCACTTACCACCTGAGAGCCCCCACTGACCACATGAGAGCCCATTCTGACAACCCTAGAGCCCCACTGACCATCTAAGAGCCACCACTGACCACCTGAGAGCCCACATCGACCACCTGAGAGCCCACATCGACCACCTGAGAGCCAGCACTTAACACATGAGAGCCCACTCTGGCCACCTGAGAGGCCCACTGGAGTATTGATGCCAATATTGGGCATTTTTACAAGTAGTCATACCCATAAAACTGCCCCCATTCTAACCACCGATACCGGCACTGTACATTTTTAACCCGAAGCGGCCGTCTGCGACCTCGGCAGTCTTCCTGTAAACCGCGCGGAGCCTGCTGACAGCGCTGCCCGCATGTATCCTCCCCCTCCTTCCTGGGGAACCCGACTGCCTGCACAGGGTTGTGTGGGAGCAAAAGTATCCGTGTGTGCGGAGGAATGCTATCACTGTGACAGAAGTCCTCACACACTGCAGTAGCCGGTGCATGGTGCTCTGTCGCCCCCTAGAGGTATGGAAGGGTCCTGCAGTATACAGTACTGTACTATGTAACAATGTTCTGCATACGATGATCTTATGTCACGTGACACGCTGCAGCAACAAATCACGTATCTGTACAAAGACGCCGTCTGCGCACGTGGTAGCAGCAAAGGTGAGATCAGAGGTAGAAGAGGAAACCAGGGGCGTAACTAGAAATCACAGGGCCCCATAGCAAAATTTTGTATGGCGTCCCATGGCCCCGCCTCCTTTCTTCCAAACACACATTCCATGGCTGTCAGTGACAGCGCCGCAGCGGCTATGAGGGGAAACGCGCCGCGGCCGCTGCCGAGCTGTGTCAGTGACAGCCAGCACCCCCACATGCCATAGCGACCCAGGCCGGGCCCCCCTTGTGCCCGGGCCCCATAGGTCGCTATGGCGATTGTTACGCCACTGCAGGAAACGTAGGGAGAGGTCAGCGCCGGCAGCAGACAAGCGTTCAGGAAACGCGTTCACAAGCAACTGAGGACCTGGCTCCTGATATTTACATAGAGCGCCTCCATGGACACCGCCCAATCCCAGCTGGGCCGGGTGCGGGAGATGCATCACTCACACAGCCGAGGGGTAAACCTGCAGTCAGCACTCGGGCTGCCATACACTCTGACCAGATCCATTACTTCACAGCTGAAGGCCAAGAGCTGCAGTCAGCAATACAGACCGACAACCTTACACCGGCTCCCTGGGGCCCGGCACATGAACCCGGCTCCAGGTTTTTGATTTACAGGTAGACAGCTGAGAGGAACAAAAGGGAGCTTTTCCCGGGACAAGGCCCGAGGCCACTTTACTGGGAGGAACGGGACATAGAGGCCTCGAAATATTCCTCGCTAAGGCCGGAAGAATGGGGTGTATATGAGGGGAGAAGGAAGAGGAGAACATGAGGGGAGAAGGAAGAGGAGAACATGAGGGGAGAAGGAAGAGGAGAACATGAGGGGAGAAGGAAGAGGAGAACATGAGGGGAGAAGGGAGAGGAGAACATGAGGGGAGAAGGAAGAGGAGAACATGAGGAGAGAAGGAAGAGGAGAACATGAGGGGAGAAGGAAGAGGAGAACATGAGGAGAGAAGGAGGAGGAGAACATGAGGAGAGAAGGAGGAGGAGCACATGAGGAGAGAAGGAGGAGGAGCACATGAGAGGAGGAGGAGCACATGAGAGGAGGAGGAGCACATGAGAGGAGGAGGAGCACATGAGAGGAGGAGGAGCACATGAGAGGAGGAGGAGCACATGAGAGGAGGAGGAGCACATGAGAGGAGGAGGAGCACATGAGAGGAGGAGGAGCACA